TGTGCCGTCTTGGAGGCCTCTTGGGAGCCTTTTGGGCCGTTTTGGGCCATCTTGAGGCCATCTTAGGCCGTCTTGGGTGCATCTTGGGCTATCTTGGAGGCATCTTTGGGCCATCTTAGCCGTCTTGGAGGCCATCTTGGAGCCGTCTGGAACGGAAGAAACCTTTGTAACCACCTCTGGAATATCTTTCGGCGTCCTCCCGGGACCCCGGCGGGACGCGCCGAGCCCACTAGGAGAGTTCTTTTGGTAAAGAACCAAAGCCAACATCGTAAGAAGTTCAGCACGCCAGGCACCCCTGTGATGAATCAACAGGGGGCGGCGAATTTAATGATCTTCGGCGCATCCCGCCACCGTGCCTTGGGTTGGGTATTAAAGCCGGATGTTCGTTGGGATATCGTGGGAGGCTTCTCGGGGGCCTCTTGGAGGTGGTTTGGATGCCTCTTGGGGCCGTTTTGGGGCCTCTTGGGGGCCTCTTGGGCCTCCTGGGCGCCTCTTGGGGCCTCCCAGGGGCCTCTTGGGTCGCAATGCTTTTCAGTTCGTGTTTTGGGGCCGTCTTGGGGCCCTCTTGCTCCGTTTTGGGCACCTCTTGGGCCGTCTTGAAGCTCTCTTGGGCTGTTTTGGGGCTGAGGGCCTCTAGGGCTGTCTGGGAGCGTCGGGAAGCCGAAAAGGGAGAACCCCCTGAATCCTTTTAATACTGCCAGAAGATCAACGATTTTGGCTTCTTGGGGACCTCTTGGGAGGCCTCGTGGAGGCCTCTTGGGGCGTCTTGGAGGCCTCTTGGGCCGTCTGGGGGCCATACTGAGCGGCTTGGAGCGACCGTTCGGTGACCCTTGGGCCCTCTTGGACCCTCTTGGAGACCCCTTGGCACCACCTTGGCCCGTCTTGGGGCCCGCTTGGACCCCAAACAATTCCCGCGCCACCGCCTCCTGGAGCCCAGGGGGGGGGCACGCGGGAAGCTCCAGGAGATGTCAGAATGTGGGGTCCGGGCCCCTATAAAGGCTCCGTAGAGGATCGGGCACAGGACCTGAGGACACGCCCACGCCATGCCCAGAGGCACGGTGGTGGATGTGCGTCTCTAGATGTTGTGCATATATGCAGCACCCCGCAGTTGGGTCGCGAGTGGGTCGCGGGTGGTTCGCCAGTGGGTCGCAGGTGGGGTCGCTGGTGGGTCGCGGGTGGGTTGCGGTTGAGTCGCGGGTGGGTCGCGGGTGGGTCGCGGGCGTGTCGCGGGTGGGTCGCGGGCGGTCGCGAGTGGGACGGCGACAACAAACAACAACAACAGCAACAACAACAACAACAGCAACAACAACAACAACACCAGCAACAACAACAACAACAACAACACCAGCAACAACAACAACAGCAACAACAACAACAACAGCAACAACAACAACAACACCAGCAACAACAACAACAGCAACAACAGCAGCAGCAACAACAACAACGACGACAACAACAACAATAATTTCAAGACTGTTCGCCCTTATATGCTCGAGTGTCCAATAACGCGTATTTCCCAAACCCTCGATACCCGCCCTCTTCGTCTTCGATCGAACCCCTTTTGGGGGGTATACCTTTCTTCCCTGCAGGCCGGGCCCCGGCAAGCGGCGGGGCGGCCGCGGACCGTCGGCCTGGCCAGCGGCAGCGCTGATCGGCGGGGCGGCCGCGGACCGTCGACCCGACCCCAAGAGGGACGGACAGGGGACCGACCACGACGACGACGACGACGACGACGACGACGACGACGTCGAAGACGACGGCGACGACGACGACGACGGCGACGACGAGCGAAAGCGAAAGCGAGAGAGAACGACAGCAGGGCCACGAAGGGCACGAAGTAGGCCACGAAGGGCGACAGCGGGGACACGAAGGGAATGCGTATGGGGCCACGAAGAGCGCGAACGACGGGGGCCACGAAGTGCAGATAATGCGGGGCCACAAAAGGCAACTATGGGGCCACTGAGGGTAGCAACTGGGCCACGTAGGACAGTGAGGGGGACACAAATGGCGACAGCGGGGCCACGAAGGGCATGCACATGGGGCCACAACGGGCGCGACTCCTGGGTGCCTGGGTGTCGGGAGCGCGGCGCTTGGGCAAATTGCAGGAAATTCAAGCTCAAGGCCATTCTTCAGTAAGTTGCAAGCAAGTCTCCAGCAAGAGCGCGACTCCAGAGCGCCGGCAGAGCGATTCCTGAATACATTGCAAGGAAGTCCCAAGCGAGAGCGCGATTCCTGAATAAAATGCGAGGATGTCTCGGGCGGGAGCGGCGGTCCTGGCTAAATTGGAAGGAAGTCTCAAGCGGGAACCGTTGTTGTTGTAACCCGGGGGCCAGGGGCTCAGTTTGAGCAGGAATATTTTCCTTGTCAAAAAACAGGGTGCGAGCGTCGATGGGGCACACTTTGATTGAGAAAACACAGTATGCACCGGTGGGGGGGATCAACAATCATTATTCTTCTGAAATGAGAATCCAACAACAATTACAACAACAACAACAACAACAGCAGCAACAACAACAGCAGCAAACACAACAACAACAACAATAACAACAGCAGTAGCAGCAACAACACCAGCAGCAACAACAACATTCATACCAATAACAATAGCTATACCAACAACAACACCAGAAGGAACAACAACAACAACACTCATGTTGATACTGTTCGCTCTTGTCTTCTCGCGTGCCATTCAACACGTATATCCCAAAGCCTCGATACCCGCCCTCGTCGTCTTCGATCGTACCCTCTTGGGGTGTGTGTATATATATATAGAACTCGTATTAATGATGATGATGCTTATAATAGTAAACAGCATAGATACCGCTCCCCCCTGCCCCGGGTGCCACACCTCCCCATGACATCTCGGGAACGCTCCCGGTACCGCTCCCCCGCGCGTTCCGGGGAGCCTCCACGCATTGTGGGGGCTCCCAGAATGCGAAAGGATGGTCCCAAGTCATCCTTCCGATGGCTCTCGAGGCTCCCAGGTAACCTCCAAGAGAACCCAAGCGAGGTCCGAGAGGCGTCCCGGGACGACCCGAAGAGGCCAAATTCGTAGATTTCCATTGTTTTTTAAATGTTTTTGGCTTCTCGCGTTTTCGAGGACGCATGCGACGAGCGCTACTGGCGCCTTCGGTGGAGCTCCGTGTGGGGCCATGGACCGTGTGAGAGGTGTGCCGACATGGGCGGCGGGGACGCAGGCGAAAACTGGTGGAGCTCCCTGTGGGGCCGCGACACCGGTGAGGGGTGTGCCGAGGTGGGTGGTGGGTTCGCATGCGAACGCCGCCATTGGGGCCTTCGGTGAGCTCCGCACAGAGCCATGAGCCATGTGACGGCTGTGCTGAAATGGGCGGCGGGGACGCACGTGAACATCGTCAGCGGGGCCATCGGTGGAGATCCTTCTGGGGCCACGAAACGTGTGAGTGGCGTGCCGAAGCTGATTGCGATGATGGTGGTCATAGCAGTGATGATGACGGCGATGATGACGGCTAATTAGGATGACGGCGGTGATGTTGATGATGTTGATAATGTTGGTGATGTTTTTGATGTTAGTGATGCTGCTGCTGTTGATGGTGATGATTACGACGACACCGACGCTGGTGATGATGACGATGATGATAATGCGGATTTTGTTGATGATGGTGGTGACGGTCATGATGACGGAGGTGATTGATGATGATAAGGAAGAGGAGAATAATCTGCAAATGATGGTGGTGATGATGATGTTGCTGATGATGATGAGGAGGAGGAGGAGGCGGAGGAGGAGGAGGAGGAGGATTGGGGTGGGAGGAGGGCTTAGCGGGAGGAGAAGGAACGCGGGGCGCTGTCTCTTGAGAGTGAGGGCCCAATGCCATAGGATGGTTGGGAACAAGTTTGTTTCGCATGCTCGTGTCGTTGGGCTGCCGTCAGCTCAAGGCGGCCCAAGAGGACCCCACGATGGCCCAAGAGGCATTCAAGAAGGCCCAAGATGGCCTCCCGTGGGACCCAAGACGGCCTTGGAAGGCCCGTCGGCGGGACAAGTCGGGCGCCAAGGCGGCCCCACGACGGCCCCAAGGAAACTGCCATACGACAAAGAGAGCCCCAAAACGGCGCAAGAGTTCCTCAAGCCTGCGTACGAGGGTCCCAATTCAGCCCAAGAGGGTCCGAAGGGACCCCGACGACTCACTCACAGGAGGCCAAGGCAGCCCCGAGACGGCCCAAACGAGTTTCGTTATTACCATCACCACCATCATCATCATCATCATCATCATCAGCAGCATCATCATCATCATCATCGTGATCAGCGTCATCGTTACTGTCGTCGTTGTCATCATCATCATCATCGGCACCCCTACCATCATCATCATCATCATCATCATCATCATCATCATCATCAGCATCATCATCACCACCATCACCAGCATTAGTATCATCATCAACACCGCCAGCAGCATCGTCATCACCATCATCATTATGATCAGCACCACTACCATCATCATGAACATGATCACCATCATCATCATCATCAGCATTATTATCATCATCATTACCATCATCATGCCATTTTGGCTCAAGCGTCGGCCGGACGCTGTTCACGTCTTCGCCTCCCTGGGCCGGCCGCGTGCGCCACCGCCTCCGCAGGCGAGACATGGGTAACAACAGGGGCGAGAATGCGGCGATCCGTTGGCTCGCACAGCGCGTGCGACACCTCGATTTCAAGCTGAAGGAGCTGGAGCGCTACTCCCAGGAGAGGGGGAGGATCGCGAAGGTGCCGCAGGCACAGTACATCGAGAAGGTCGTCGAGGTGCCGAAGGTCGTGACCGGAGATGTCGAGAAGATCGTGGAGGTGCCGCATGTGGAGTACATCGAGACGGTCGTCCACGTGCCGAAGGTCCTGAAGGAAGAGGCCGAGAAGATCGTGAAGATGCCACAGGCTGAGTACGTCGGGAAGACCGTCGAGATGCCACATTTAAAGTATGCCGAGAAGATCGTCGAGATGCCGATGGGTGTGACCGAGAAGATGGAGCAGATCGTGAAGGCGCCGAAGGTTCAGAAGAGGGGCGCTGAGAAGATCGTAGAGGTGCCGCAGGCACAGTACGCTGAGAAGATCGCCGAGGTGCCGAAGGCTGTGGCCGAAGAGGTCGAGGACGTGGTCACGCCGCAGGCAGAGTACACCAACTAGATCGTCTGCGTGCCACAGGACATGACCCACGGGATTGTGAAGGTCGTGGAGGCGCCGCAGGAAGAGTACGTCGAGCAGATCGTCGGGATGCCGAAGGTCGTGACTGAAGAGGCCGAGAAGGTCTTGGAGGCGCCGCAGGTAGACGACGTTGCGAAGATTGTCGAGGCGTCGAAGGCTGTGACCGTAGAGGTCGAGAAGATCGTGGAGGTGCTGCAGGTGGAGTACATCGAGACGATCGTCCACGTGCCGAAGGTCGTGGCCCATGAGGTCGTGAAGGTCGTGGAGGTGCCGCAGGTAGAGCACGCCGAGAGGATCGTCGAGGCGCCGAAGGTCGTGACCGAAGAGGTCGAGAAGATCGTGGAGGTGCCGCAGGTCGAGCACGTCGGAAAGATCGTCCACGTGCCGAAAGGTCGTGACCCATGAGGTCGAGAAGACCGAGGAGGCGTCGCAGGTGGAGTACGTCGAGAAGATCGTCGAGGTGCCGAAGCTCGAGTCCCGCTTGGACGCTGTTGGGGGCCTTCTGGCTGGCTGCATCCCGATGCTCCAGCCGGAGATGGTCAAGCCTCTGACCGCCAGGGTCGAGGCCTGCAGGGCGGAGATCGAGGACATGGGGAACTATTGCACCAGCCTGGTGCGCGAGCTGGAGCGGGAGGTATACGGCCTCTGCAGGAAGCTCGAGAACGCAGGCTACGAGAAATGAGGAGTCCACCTGTGCTCCGTATGATTATGATTAGCTGGCCGTGCGCCGCAGCGGGAGCTGAGAGCCAAAGGCAATAGGCAGAGTTGAGATCTGAGAGCGCAGCAAGCAATAGGCATCACCATCATGGCCATCATCACTGCCGTCGCCATCATAACCATCATCCATCCTTCTCCTCCTCATCATCGCCGCCACATTTAGCATCTTTTGTCGTATTGTCGTTCCCCTGGTTTCCTCATCATCCTCACCACGGCTCTCCCAAACCGGGAGGCACGAGATGCCACGCGCGACGGCCTCTCGTGGCCCCCTCGAACGGCTGCCACCCATCCTGTTGGGCTGGCGCGGCGGCGGGACTCGTCGCAGGCTGCTGGATACCTCCACAGGTATGTCCACACACGCAGGCGCAGGGCAACTGATGTTCGGCGTCACCCCAGCATACTTATATTATATATGCGTCGCCCCCCCCCCCAGGGGCGACGCGCGCGCCGAGAAATCTTCTAGTATATGCTTTTTGGCGGGCGATTTCTGGCCACACCGCTCGGGAAACGATATATTATGATATAGGTATACTATATGTCGGACGCGCGCATCCAAGGATAACGTATCGTACTGGTATGTCTTTGTGCGTCCCATATGTGGTGCAAGCCGCGTGTGCATCCTGAAACGCGACATGGCGCACGAGGCGCCCACGGGCCGAGAATCCAAAAACGAGACAGCGCACGGGGCGCCCGCGTGGCGCCCGCGAGCCCCCGCCGGGGGGACAACCCCCGCAGCGGGACGCCCGCGCGGCGCCCACCGGGCGAAGACCCGGAAACGCAGGCAAACGAGTGAGCAACCCGAGTGAGGGCCCCACTGGGTACAAGCGCTGGTTTCGGAAAAAGTGAGAACCCCTACGCTTAAGCTGCTGCACTGCCTGTGTCGGCCCCAGGTGCCCGGCAGTGTTCTGAGCCCCCTCGTGAGGCGTTTCCGATCCAAGGGCGAAGCGACAGTGACATTGGAATTCCGGATCTCTCCTGTCCAAGTATCGGCCTTTTCCCAGCGCCTTGGGTCCAAAAATTGCCCCCAGAGAGATAGTAGTTGGGTCGCCTGTGCAAGCAGGTCGCCCCTGCAGTTCTTTTGTCGATCGCTGGCTTTGGTGTTGCCACGTCTCTTCAAGCGCCACCTTCTCAGCATCGCAATTTGGACACCTTCCCGCTTTAGTGCTGCTACCTTCTTCAGAGTCACTTGCGACAGATGGACATGTCAGCTGGCCAGCGACAGCCTGTTCAGGCAGCATGCTGCACCGGTTTCGCATCTTGCGCCCGATTGCAGGCAGACTGTAGATCATCGAGAACCGCTAGATCAGGCTTGGCCGCCGTGCTGCGATTGCAACTCGCCAGCGCAGCCACGCTGCCTCAGCGCTTCCTCCAGTCGAGCGCGAGTGTGTGCGATTCAGCAGTCGTCAGATGTCTCGATCGCACGCCTTGTGACAGTTTTTCGCAGCGCCTGCGCGTGAAGCTCGCCACGGGAAAGACGGGGACTACTGTTGCATCCAATGGGGTCCCGAGTCACGACAACCAAGTTAATGAGCAGCAGCCGCTCCAAGGAAAGTTACACGAAGCTGGGACATTGAAGCAGTGGGCCCGATTGAATTTCGAGCAGGTCGGTGTATCGCAGGGGGATTCAACATATCGTCGACGTGTCATGGTATGCATCGCGCAAGGCAACGTACAGGCAGTCACCACTGCAAACAGCTAGAACGGAAACCCTCTGCCTCGTTGTCCTATTGAAGCTAAGTGTGGCGAGCAGGTAGCACGGGGTGAATGATGAAAAGGAGGCAGGGAGGACGAGTAATTGGGTGGAGATGGAGGAGGAGCAGTCGGGGAAGCATGATTTGGGGGTCGGATGCAAGGGAGGAGTAAGGCGACGGTCTCAAACGTCTCCTGCTGATCTGGCGGACTGGAGCGCTCGACTTGGACTCGAGGGCCTCGGGATACGCTTAGAGGCTCGTCGATGGAGGGCCGCACTTCTCGATGCCGTCTCCGGTACGGGTGTCGAGGTAAGGGGGGAGAGCTGGCACTCCTGGGTGCTCCGTGCGCTGCTTGGCTGCAGGTCTCTCAGGGAGCGACTGCTGCAGGGCGCCTGCCTCGTGCAAGGGCGGCGGTACCACAGAGTCCAGAATGCAAGGAGGTAAGATCCGGGGCCCCTTTGGGGGGTCTCTCGGGGCACTCTTGGTCCGTGTAGGGGCTCTCTTGGGCCCTCTCGGGGCTGTCTTGGGCGCCTCTTGGGCCGTCTTGGGGCCTCTTGGGGCCATGTTGGGCTGTCTTTGGCCCCTCTTGGGGTCCTCTTGGGCCGTCTCGGGCCCCTCTTGGGCCGTCCTGGGGCAGTCAGGAACCATCTTGGAGCCCCACAACAAAAAAGCCCCGCCCGTGCCGTGCACCGCCACGCCGTGCCCGCGCGCTGGGCCCCCTGCCCATGCGCTCTCTCCGCAGGCGCGGCGGGCCCGCCCGTGGCCGGCGTGCCGCGCCGCTCAGCCCGCGTGACCCGCGCCGCGCTCGGCCGCCGGAGGCGCGGCGAGAGGTGCCGCCCGTGGCCGCGCCGCGCCGCGCCGCGCCCTCCTAGAGGCCGCGGAGCAGGTGCCGCCCGCGTGCCGTGCCGCGGCGTGCTCCCCTGGCGTGCCAGGGTGCGGGGAGAGCACGCGCCGCGCCGCCGTGCGGTGAGGCTGCGACCCGTGCCGTGCCCGGGCGTGCCGAGTGTCCTGCCGTGCACCGGGCGTGCGCCAGGCCGTGCCGCGCCGTGCCGTGGCGCGCCCTGAGCTCCAGGGGCGCGAGGAGCGCGGCGCGTGCCGCGGCCGCCGAGCCGAGCCGTGCCGTGCAGTGGCTCGGGTTTTTGGCGGCAGTGGCCGCAGGAAGGCACGCGCCCTGGCCCGAGTGGTCCTGGCAGCGCTGCTGCTCGGGGTCTCTCTGCACCGTGCGGTGCGGAAGTCGGCGGGGAGCCCCCGTCCCCCCCGGACCTCTCTTGGCAGCCACCCCGGCAGGCCTTTCGAGCCGCGTCCGGCCGTGGCCACCGCCCAGGAGGCCCACACATATAGCCAGAACGCACCGAGCGCGCCTCCCTCGATCTCCTCCTCCTTCTCCTCCTTCTCCTTCTCGGGGGGGCGCGGGGGGAGGGACCACCCCCTCTTCTGCACATCCGGCCCCCGCCCGAGCTCCGCGGGGCGCCAGGTGTCACCCCGCAGTTGTGCGCATAGGCCTGATGCCATGGTCGAGACGCCCGGCTTCCCCCCCATTCGGCGGCGAGCGAGGGGGGGAACGTGAGAGGGGGGAGGCCCTCTCGGAGGGCGGCGGGGCTCCCCGGAGGCCCTCCAGCCTTCTGAGAAGTTGTGCTGTGTCTTCGGAGATGCCTCGAGAGCTTCCCAGAAGGCCCGAGGCCTTCCGAGATTGCTGAGGAGGCGTTCTCCTTCTCCCAGGAGGGGAAAAAACACACAGACACAATGAATCGTCGATCCCCCGGAAAATATGGGCAAATATGGGAATTGGGCGTGAAGACAAAAACCCGGAAAATATGGGAAACCATGGGGGATCATCTTATTTGTGTGTGTATTTATTTGTGTGTCCTGGGGCCCCTTGATTCTCACTTCCCCCCCGGGCGCTCCGCCGAGCTGTGGTTTGGAGCTCCGCAGGCCAGCTGCGGGCCGAGGGCAGGCGAGAACAGGCACGGGGCGCACAGAGCCGTGGAGCCTCCATGGTTCGACAAGGGTCTTCACGCTGCACCCTCGGGGGCCCCCTCGTCTGTCCCCCCAAATGGGTGTCTCGTCTCGTGCCCGGCACGGGTTCGATGCGGACTCAAACGTGGACTTGGCGTGGATTCGGCGCGGGTTCGACGTGGGTCCGACGAGTGCGGCATGGATTCGGCACGGAGTCGACGCAGAGTCGGCGCAGATCGAGACGCGACGGGACAGACAAGGCCCCCCGATGATGCAACACAAGGGCCTAGCCGTCGGACGCCTAGGTGTAAGTCGGGCATGTCCCCCTACAGGGCGAACGTCCAAACATAGCTTTCAGAATCAGCCTGGGGACGATCTATTTCAACCACGCTTGTCGTCTTTGCTCGAGTTTTTTGTTCGCTGCTCTTTTCCCCCATTGTTTCCCCTGGCATCCCGCCCGCAGGAGGACACGCCCGACCTAAGCCTCGGTCTTGCGGGCGCCGTGCTCCGCGCTTCGCGGGGGCACCGCGCCGTGCTCGGCCAGGGCTCCCCGGGGGGGGGGGGGCGGGCGTGGCGTGGCGTGGCGCCCGAGGCCGCGTGCCGCCCGCCCGCGCGGCGCCGCCCCGAAGGCCTGCCGGCGCAGGGCGCGCTGCTGCTACCTATAGGCGCACCCGTGCCTCTTGCCCTCCGCGTGCCGGCATGCCGGCATGCGGCCGTGGCGCCGCCGCCCCGCAGTCGGACGGCGTCGGGCGTGCTTTGGCTGCAGCGCGCACCCGTGCTTCTGCAGCACGGTCCTCCGCTTGCCGGCATGCCGGCACGCCGGCACTGGTGCCGGAACCACACGGCGGGGATACCCCCCCCGCCCGCCCCCCGCCCCCCATGACCCCCTGCCCCCCCCCCCCCCATGACGCTCCCCGGAGCCACACGGCGGGGGGGGCGTTAATTCCATCATACCCTCCCCCCCCCGCCCGCCCCCACCCCCCCATGACGCCCCCCGCCCCCCCCCCTGTGACGCTCTCCAGAGCCATACGGCGGGGGGGGGCGTTAAGTACGTCATACCCCCCTCAAGCAGTGGCGAGCGTCCTGGCTCGCCTATCTAGCCCTACCAAGCAGTTTTCTGAGAACCTCTTGTGGTTCCCACGAGGTGTTCTCAGGACGTTTCTGGCGGAGGCTGTTTTGTTTTAACGCATCGGGCTCATGTTCTAAGAACATTGTTTCTGTTCTTAGAATATTTCTGGGTTCTAAGAACATTTCGTGGTAGGACTATAGGAATGCTGGGACGGTCGGTACCTGCTCCCCCCCCCCCGCCCCCCCCATGACGCCCGCCACCGCCGAGCATGAAGGAACGCGCTCCTGCAAGCGGCATGGGCACGTGGCATGGTGGCCAGCTATTCTGCAGGCCGGGCGGGGCTTCGGGGCAGGTGGAGATGAGCCTCGTGCTTCCGTTGCGCATCCGTTGGTCATACCCCTGATCGCCCACCCTGGACCCCTGCGGGGTCCGACGCGCTGCCACCTCTTCGCGCAACGTGTTGGATCACTTGAAGTTGACTCGGCTTCCATGCGATCTCACAGGCCTTTCCGCACGGTGGGGGCATTGGTTAAGGAGTGTGCCCAGGAGGCTTCAGACCCTGGAGGATTCCTTAGCTGACGAGGGCGTTGGCGATACCCCTGGCCGATACACAATTGGAGCTCCACTGGCTTCCAGACCCCGGATTCCTTATCCAAGGCTTCCTTATTCAATGCTCCCGCCGTATCTGAACAAGCAGTCTGTGACTCCTTTGCGTTGACACCGTCTTGCGCATTCCCTGCAGCGTGGGTATCGGGGCGCCCAGGACTGGGAGCTGGAGCGAGAATTCAACGTGGATATCGTGGAGACGCTGAAGCAGTGTGGCAAAGAGGAACGCTGGACTATGGCTCTCCACGCATTGACATTCTGCCCATCGGGCGTCGACGGACAAAAAAAACAAACAAAGAGCGGGCTGCTCTTGAAATGGGGCGCTGGCACCCTCCGCAGCGCATGACGTTGTTTTTGCTCGAGGCCTTTTGCTGCCACGCTGTTGTTATTAGTTCTGTGCCGATTGCCTGATACCGCATTGTCCGTGTTATTCGGGGGCGGAAAAGAGGGGGTGATGACTAGGGGGGGTGGATATCATGGCGGGGGCCATGATATTTCCCCAGAACTCATGGCGCCTTTTCTTCTTTCATCGCGTCCCTGGCCCCCCCGCTGGGCCGCGCACATGCCGCCGGTCATGATTTGCACCCCCCCCCTCTTGGACACCCCTCTCTTGGCCGCTCCCGAGTTATGCGACCCTGTTGCGCTGGAGCACCTCGCCAGACCCTATTGCCGACTGGCGCCGTCATACAATTCGGATCCTGGGCTGGGCCTTTTGTTCTGAATGCAGGGCGATGGCTCAGAACATGCAGTCCCAGAACATCGTTTTGTCATCCACGTCAATCTCGCTCTTGTCAGACGGATGCATGTCGGTGGGGAGCTCTGTAGTTGTTCGTGAACGATGCGGACGCTTCAGTCGGGGAACCCGAGTAACCGTATCCGATACACTGTGTCAACAGTTGGTCAGTGTTGCAAAGGCTTATGACATTCGGATTGTGAGCGGGAAAAGCCCATCGGAACTACGCGAAAGACTTCTAATAGGAAAGAAGTGGCAATGGATAGTTGCATGACGCCACCAGCCGTGCACATATGTATATCTGTATATATGTGTGCGTATATATATATATATATATATACATATGTATGTATATACAAGACTGCATTGGCGCTTCGCGCCATGCACCTTGGTCCTGAGGCTTTGCACGTGTTGGTCGTTCGCACCATCCCTAGTGGCCTTGGAAATCTGGCCCCTTCCCTGCGGTGGTTTTCATAAGTCTTCGAGAGAAGCGGATGTGGACGTGGGGGAGGACGCGTGGTGGAGCGGCAGACTGTTGAGGATGAGGATGAGTGGGAGGGCGCCGTCGGGGGACGGCAAAGCATGTTGCAGCGGGTTTCAGCGGGATGCAGCGGGTCGCGACGGGGCACACGAACGCAAGTAATTCTTAGGGGATGCACCCAATCCCGGGTTCGCAACACATGTCCAGGATTTGTAGTTGCGAGCCCGGGATTCGGGTCAGTTAGGTGGAGCACGCCGTGTGGGCCTCATTGGAGCCCTGGTGGGCCAGCGGGTTTGGGGCCGTCTCGAGCCGTCTTGGGACCATCCTGGGCCGTGTTGGGGAGCTCAGGGACCTTACGGCGGCTGCGTAGGCCCTCCCGTTGGCCTCCCATGGCCTTTTGGGGGGCCTCCCATGGCCTTCTTGGGCTTCTCATGGAGGCCTTGTGAGGGCCTGTTGGGCCTCTTTTTGGCTCAGTTGGGGCTTCCTTGGGCAGTCTTGGGGTCGTCCAGGCCGTCTAGAGGCTCTCTCTTTGGCCGTCTAGGGGCGAAACAGGAGGCCTTCTTGGCTCTCCTGGAGGCTGCTAAGACCCGAACAGCGAATGTGCTGAACATGCACGTTTTCCTTGAGGGAATGACAGAAGAATTTCTGCGTTCTGAGAGCCCTGTTGAGGGCCTCCTGGGCCGTCTTGGGGGCCTCTGGAGGCCCTCTGGGTCCTTCTTGGAGCGCTTTTGTGCTGTCTTGGGTCTTTCTTCGGCCTTTCTGATCACCGCTCTCATCGCTTCGGGGCCTTGTGAGGGCCTGTTGGACCTCTTTTCGGCTCAGTTGGGGCTTCCTTGGGCTGTCTTAGGGCCGTCCAGGCCGTCTAGAGGCTCTCTTGAGCGCATTTGTGGTGTCTTGGGTCTCTCTTCGGCCTTTCTGATCACCGCTCTCATCGCTTCAGGGCCTGCTGGCAATACCCGGCTAAGCGCACTGGGAGGTCCGGGATGAGCCGGGGGACTTTTGGCAAGGATGTCCCCTGGCCCAGAAATCCGCGATCCTGGGGGTCCAATTTGGGGAGGGGCGGGGTTTTCCTACCCCCCCGACTTGTAAAGATATAAGATGACGGATAGAACAAGACATTTATTGTGATACACATTCGGAACACGCAAACACCCACATGATCCTTTGAGTGGCCACATCCAATTGCAATTCCAGGTGATGTGAAGTGTGAGAGGCGATGCAATTCAGACATGATGACAGTCGGATTAGTGTTTGTAACAGGCAGACAATGCTAGCACAGAGCCTCCAGGTATGTGCAAAACGTGTCGGTTGTGTGAATGTTCAGAGGCGCCAGAAATGGCCACGCTTACTGATTTAGTGGTGGCTCGGTCGGATGAGACACGAGAAAGTGTATGGAGTGGATGGTAAACAAGTTCAGCAACAGTTTGCACGGCAGCACTGAGCAGCGTTCTGCCAGTCACGCCACTACATGCGTGGTAAGGTACGGTACGCGAGCTCCTGTACGTGGGTGGTGTAGATGGTCGCTTCCCAGGGTTAGGAAATGTGGTTGGGGTGAAGGTAACTACTGCCACGCCAGGCCACAGGCCAGGCAACGCAGTCGAGTGGCGAGGCGAGGTGGGGCGCGGCTAACGCCTGGTGAGGTGCTGGCGGCAGGCGAGGGGTTGACGTCGGGTGAGGTGCGCAGGCAACTGCACGGCAAAGTACCCTGATTTTTTAGGAGGGCTAGAAAATAGCACCCGACTTAAAAACCTATCCCAAAGCCATTATACGTCTTGGTTTTAGGCTGTCTCGCTCAGCTTTTTAGGTTTTTAGGTCTGCAGTGCTAAAGCATAGCTCTCTGGAAGGTCAGGGTAATGTACATGAGAGCTGAGGTCGGATCGGGTAAGTTGGGAGTGTAAGCCGGGAGGCCGTGCACAACAGCGCAAGGCAATCCAATAAGATTTGGACACGGACGTCTAGGCAATGACAAGTATGGCAAGGCAATGCAGTGTCTGGGTATTTCCCGCGTGCGCAGGCGCGATTCCTAACCCTGGGCAAATTCAATTTGGCAGCACGAGGGCAAGGCAATGCACAATAAGATCATGTAAAGCAGGAATCGAGACGTTTGTCCGTCTCCTCCTCCTCCTCCTCCTCCTCCTCTCGCTCTCTCCTCTCGCCTATCATCTTTCTCGCTCTCCCACTCCAGCCTCCTCTCGCCCTCCTCCCCCTCCTCCTCCTTCGACACCCTCCTCCCCCTTCTTTCCTCCCCTCCTCCTTGGCCCTGGTCGGCAGCCCTCCGCTGGGCCTTCTCTCCGCAGCTGGGCTGCCCACCAGCCGCCTCGACAGTACGAAGGCGTGTTGGCTCCATGGACGCTGCCGCCGCGAAGAAGCGGTTCCTCCGGCTGTGGCAGGGCCTGCAGCTGTACGACGGGCTCTCCGCGAACGACGCGGCCGCGGCTGCGGTGCCGCTGTCCCAGCAGCCTCCCGAAGTCGCGGCTCCGCTGCCAGAGCTGCTGACAGGAGAGGTGGCTCCGCCCGACGGCGCGCCGCCCGCGCACGAGGCGCTGTCTGCACGCAGCGGAGGGCCCCTTCGACGGAGAGACCTCTTGGTGCGGGGACGCAGGGCTCGGGAGGAGACAGTACCGATCCCGCGGCTCGTCTCGGCACCGCCGGATTCTCCTCGGATATGAGGCTGGTCCAGACGTGCTCCGGGAGGGGCCCGGGGAGCGGCGGCCCCGGCACTGCCCCGTCCTCCCGGGGGCGCCCCCAGATCGCGGAGAGCGCTTCGGTGGCTGCGGCCTTGTTCGCGGGCGGCCAGCGTGCATCATGCCCGCGCCGGCGTCCCCTGAGCCTGGCATCGCTCGGACGTGTGCCTTTTTTCTCGGCGAGGGCCATCGAGGAGCATCCTTGATCATTCGGCGAAAAGACCACACACGAAGCCGAAAAAAGCACAGGGAATGGACGTCCGAGCGATGGCCAGTGGGGCGGCAGCGATATCTTCGACCGAGGAGTGGTGCGGTGCACAGCGGCTCGGCCCCCGGAGCGGGGGACGCCGGGCCCGAGGCGGTGCACGGCTGCCTCCCGTCCTGGCCTGCGCGCCCACGTTGGGCACCCTCCGTCCCCCCGGTGCCCCAGGGCCCAGCGATCCGATGTCGTGATGTTCTCAGCGCAGTGCCGCTTTTTAATGCATGCTCCGCGTGCGGATCATGCAATTCTTAAACATGCAGGGATTTAGTCTTGCAAACAACGATGAGTTCATACATGAAATTATCCATAAACGAATCATGCATTAGAATCCTACATTCAGAATCCTATGTATTAAAAACTGCCCTGTACGGGGTCCCCGGAAGGCTCGACCCAGTCCCCAGGACCGGTGATTCCTCATGGATAGTTTTTGACGATCCCGGGGCCCGGCGAGGGCCGCTAGAGGCCAAACATCGAGAGAAGCCACCGTCTTCATTTTTGTCAATGCGTCGGAAGTCTGGGGATGCCGCGCACCAGTTGCCGACCTCGTAGCTTGCGCGCCCGGGTTGGCCCCCTCCCCCCCCGCGCGCCCTGGGAAGCCGCGCACCAGAGGTCCCCGTGGCCTGCGGGCCGCTCCCTGCGTGCAGCAGCTGGAGGCCCTGCGGCGGGTGTGCGCTGCGGGCGCCGCCGCGGAGGCTGCCGACGTGGAGCGGTCCCTCGCGGTCCTGGATGACCTGGGTGCACTGGCGGTGGCCTTCCGGCGGGGTGGCGCGGAAGGCGCCGGGCCCAGCGTGACGGATCCGAACGTGGACACGGGCGCCGTGGAGGCGTACTTCCACGCTCTGGCCGCAAGGGACGCGCGGGCCAGCGGAGAAGCCGACGGGGGAGCGGGCGCGACGGGGGAGGGCGGCACCCCTCAGCAGGCGAAGAGCCTCGTATCGCAGGCGCTGCACAGACTTGGGAACCTGTTCACGAAGATCGGGCACGCCAACGACCAGGCACGGAAGTTTGACAGCGACCGTGCCGCAGTCCACGGCGGTTTGGCGGGCGGGGTGCCGTCTTCGCTGTCGGGGAGCCGCGAGGCGGGGCCCGTGACGATTCCGCCTTCCCCAACGCCGCTGACGAAGGAGGCGTTCCGGGACTGCAGCTGTGTGGGATGGGAGCTGCCCGCGGAGCCGTCGTTCCGTGCGCACGTGACCCGCTTCCGGGAGCGCCGTGAGAAGCTGAAGCAGGAGCTGGCCGCCGCGGCGGCGTCGGCCACGGGGCCGGAGACACAGCCGCGCCTGGAGGAGCCTGCGTATAACCCTGCCGAGTGTCTGGTGGGCCTGCGGGTGCTGCTGATCCCGCTGGCGTTCCCCTTCTTCGAGGAGAGCGACCACTACGAGGCGCTCGGGCGCATCCTGCGCGCGTACAGGGGGCTCTCCGAGGCGCAGCGGGAGCGTCTGGGCCGGTGGATCGCGGGCGGCGTGCTGTCGGGGACGTTCCCTTTCCGGGTCCTCGAGGGCCAGCTGCAGTGGCTCCAGCAGCTCGTGACCATCCGCTTCTGCACCGACTTCGAGGAGGGCGCGGAGCAGTTCGGGTGGGACTTCTTCTGCACGCGCACGAGCCAACCTGTGAAGAACGCGCTGGCCTGCATGGATCTGTTTTTCCGCGCCAACCGCGTGCTGCAGGCCAAGCACCGCGCTTTCAAGCGCGAAGAGCGCTTGCGCGGTACCGCGGCGGTCCTGCAGAGTCTCGGGGACAGCGCCGCGCCGCCGTATTTGAAGCGCATCGACTTCGTGAACGACGCGCTGAACGAGCATGACCGGGTGCTGAAGCACGACTACGAGTGCAGTCTGTATCTGCCTCGGCTCAAATGGAACGAGCTGGTGCAGGAGTTTCGGGGGGCCCGCATGCGCGGCCTGCCCGCGCAGCCGCCTCCGCGCCGCCCGAGGGTGCCCACGGCCATGGCGGAGGTGCAGGCTGGCAGCGCGTTGAACACGATGAGTTTCGGGCTGCTGGAGTACGCGTGGGCGCTGGACCCCAGCGGCAAGTGCCGCCTGCTGATGCTGAATATGAAGGATCAGCAGCGCGATAACGTGCGGCAGGAGATGTTGACCCAGGTGTTTCGCGGCCACGGGCGCGTGAACCCGTACCTGACGCTGTGCGTGCGTCGGGACAATCTCATCCAGGATGCGCTGCAACGGCTGGCGTCTGTGAGCCCCAGTGGGCTCAAGCGGACGCTGAAAGTGGTTTTCGAGGGCGAGCAGGGCGTAGACGAGGGCGGCGTGCAGAAGGAGTTTTTCCAGCTCCTGCTGGAGCAACTTTACGACCCGAATTTCGGTATGTTCACTTATAACGCCGACAACAAAACGTATTGGTTCTCGCACACGTCCTTGGAGACCAATCTGAATTTCGAGCTGTTTGGTGTGCTTTTGGGCCTCGCCATTTACAACCGTGTTATTATCGACGTCCGCTTCCCGATCGCAGTGTACAGGAGATTGGGCATGGGTGTTGGACCCCCTCGGCCCATGTTCCTCCTCTTGGCTTGTTTGTGCGCTACTGGATGTGTTTCCCTCGAAGGTGATCTGATACCCTCAATATGAGCGGGAAGTGTTATCGGGGAGTTTCCTTGCCCTGGAAGGTTTCCCAAACCCTCCTGAATTGGGTCCTTGTTCTCAGTACTGCACGCGTCGCTTCTCGTTTCTTCCCAGCTCCTCTCTTCTGCGCGTCTCCTGGTGCCCTGATCGCTTGCATCGTCGCTTCCTCGCCGTCTCTGGGTGGCACCAGGCGTGCTAATGTTGCCACCTTTCTGCACCCCTCGGGGATCGAGTGGAAGGGTATCCTACGCAGATTCAAACTAATGGGAACCTCGCTCCGATTGTGCGTGCCAGGCGTGCAACCGTCCCCCTTTTTTGCCTGTGCCCCTGGGGGCTCCATCGGAGAGACCCCACGAAGACATGTCGGTTCTCCTCGGATATGGAAAGGCCTGGGGCGGGGCACGCGGGGGGGACGACCATCATATGGGACCCACGCGCGGACTCAACCAGTGACCCTATGACCAATATGGGGAGCAGCCTGTGAGGCGCAGCGTGGTTGAATCCGCTCCGGTTGCGTGGGTCCCTCCCGGGTAGCAGCATCCACGAGGGGACTGCAGCGCCGACCACCGCCACGCAGCACCAGCCCTGTAGAGTAGTGAACCCGTCGGGACTGGAACCGGTCGTGTGGGACCTTCCCGTGTGAGGCCCCATCGCGTGGGAACGTGTGGTGTAGAGGGCCCCGAAGGGGGACCCCATCGTGTGGGACACTGTCATGCGGGTCTCAATCGTGCGGGGCCCTATCGCGTGGTATCCTATCGTATGGGACCCGACCGTGTCGAACCCTACCATGTGGGACCCTATCGTCAGGGGCCCTGTCGTGCGGGACCACGAAGGCTAGGAGCTTTGTGTGGGTGTTCCAACAGTGCGAGGCCCTAGCCTATCGTGCGGGACCGCACGGGACGGAACGTATCATTTGGGACCCTATCCTGTGGAACCGCATCGTGTCCGAACCTAAGTATTGTATGGGGACCACATCGTGAGGAGAGACCCTGACGTGTGGGGCTCTTTCGTGTAAGTATGACCATCTGGTGTGGGACTCTGTCGCGTAGAACCCTCTCGTGTGGACCACGTCGTGCTGGACCCTGGCGTGTGGAACCCTATCGTGTGGGACCCTGCCAATGTAATCAGGAGGGGACCCCAGGGCCGTTCACCGCCCCGCAACACCAGCCACCGCCGGAACTCCTGGGATCGTATTGCCGTGTACTTCCGCTCACCGCCGGCCACCGCCGCCATTCTTGACAGCCAGAGAGGGAGCCGCAGCTGTCGCCACTTGCTACCATCGAAGGCCCCAGCAACTGTCATCTCTCTTTAGAAGGTCAAAGGTATTCCTAAGGGCAAACGCTGCTTGGAAATTTGTGCCAAGAAGAGGGAGACAAGGAAACGCGAGGGAGAAAGGAGTGTTTTCTCCCAGGAAGTTGCTGGTGGCGGACGAGGCCGGAATCGCCCGGTTCACGGTGGACGACCTCGGCGCCGTCGCGCCTGAATTAGCGAGATCGTTGGAGAAGATGATGGGCCTGTTTTCCACCGCCACCACCATAAGTTGGAGGGGGGAAGGAGGAGGGCGACGAGGAGGAAGAGGACGAAGAGGAGGAGGAGGAGGAGATGGAGGAGGTGGAGGAGGAGGAGAAGAAGGAGGACCCCCTCCCCCTCCAACTTATGGTGGTGGTGGTGGTGGACAGCAGGCCCATCGGAAGATGTTAGAGTTCGAGGGGGACGTGGAGGCCGCGTTCTGCAGGGACTACGTGGCCACGTATGAGGCATTTGGGGCCACCGTAGAGGTGCCGCTCACCAAGGACGGAAGCCGTGTGCCACTGACGAACGCCAACCGCCACGAGTTCGTGGAGGACTACGTGGACTGGTACTTCAACACGTCGATCGCGGATCATTTCAAGAGCTTCAAGAGAGGGTTTCTGAGGTGCCTCCAGGTGGACGGGGAGGGAGGGAGCGGCGATGCGCACTTGAACATGTTTTTGCTGATGTTCGAGGCCGAGGAACTGGAGCTGCTGATCTGCGGCAGCCCCGTTCTGGACTTCACCGCGTGGCAGGGCAACACCGCGTATGAGGGGTATTCGCAGAAGAGCGACGTGGTGCAGTGGTTCTGGAGCATCGTGATGGAGGAGTTCTCCGAAGAGGCGCGGCGAGAGCTGCTTGCTTTCGCAACGGGGTCCGCACGTGCGCCGCCCAAGGGTCTGGGGTCGCGGGAAGCGCGGTTTGTGATCGCGCGCGCAGGGCCCGATTCGGAGCAGCTTCCGACGGCCCACACGTGCTTCAACCACCTGCTGGTTCCAGAGTACGACTCTAGAGAAAAGCTGGGCAAGAAGCTCCGCCTGGCCATCTCGAACAATCAGGGCTTCGGCCTGATTTGAGGCGCCATGTGGACCTGATCGCGCCCGCCCAGCAAAATGTATGCCGCATGATGATGCAATGCTTACGCAAAGTTGAAGACGTTAGCACGTTGACAGAGGAAGTGTGTGCATGTGACTTTTTATTCAGTATCCGCAACACTTCATTGCTACACTGTCCTGCTCGCGTGTTCGCTGTATACCGAATGGTGATTGACGGGCGAGTATCATATGTTTGGTGTTGCAATCGTCACCATGGCATTGGTCGCATGACAAGTGTTGCACAAGCCGGAGTAAGAAGATGAGGATGTGGGGTAAGTCAAAATTGCATCGTTGCCGTTTCATATTTTGTTGCCACGGTCGCAACAGAATCAGTGGGCACCAGACGGGGTAAGAAGATAAGGGGGTGGAGACGGGGCGGAAGGAACGGGAAGAGAGCAGGGACATTAGATGAATGAGGGTGAGGCGGGGACGCGACATGCACCTGACAGTAAGGATTGAATGGAATATTTCAGGCCAGTCTTCGTAGCCAAGGTGTACGAGATGTAGCAGCAAGCGGCACGAGTGAAGCAATGGCCACGGGATAAGAAGAACACAAGGCAGAGGGTGAGGCTGTGAAAACGATCCCAGGACTACGACCTCAGCAATGTTGACATTGTCACCAGCCTTCCGATGCTCAGGACGGGGCACCTGAAATATGTGTGCGCTGGGCGCGCGACAGTTGCCGAATAGTCTTCATCACGAAGGCCCCTTTGAGTGTCTTCGTTCCGTTGCCAGTACCCTGTTCTCCCCTATTGCTGGTTGTTTGTTGTTCGTGTTATCCCTTTGCTCCCTTGATCCTATGCCTCCCCGCCTCTGGATCAGTCTCCTGCATTATACTCAGACTCGATGTTGTAATATCTATTCCTCTTCTTTCTTATCTTTGTCTTTCCCAGGTTCCTGCTTTTCATGTGACCGTCCATTTACCGTCAGTTACGTACCCATGTGCGTGTCCTATTATTCTATTTGTTTGTCTTACATGGTTATCCTTTCGCATCTTGCTTCTCAATTGGACTATCTGCATCAAGCACGCTGATGCGCTGAGACCAATGTTCTGCCTTCCCTGGGTTATCTCCAGACGCCATGGTCATGCCGCATCGCCCGAGCCTGTGGATACAGGGCGCTTTCTTCGTGGATGCCCCGCACGGAACGTCTCCACACGACCGCGTATCCACGGGCTCTGGCTCACGAATCTTGACCGCGAGGGCGTGGACATGGACATACTCGCTGCCCGCGAGGAGGGCTCCGTGTGGCCACGAAGCGTCCGAGGCGGGTGCCGCACACGGGGACCCGGGGACGCTGTGCGGCAACAACACCCCCCCCCGGGGCATCGGCGAAGCGAAGGCCCGGGCCTCTGGACGCCCGGAATGGGTACGGAAAGAATGGGTACAATGCCCAACAGCAATTCCTGTTCATCTTGAGCAGGATTCTCATTTTGAACCGGATTCGCTGTCCACGCCGCCGCGGCCTGTGTCCATCCGAGAAAGAAGGCCGCCTGCCCAACAGCGGCCGCTGCTGGTCTGGGGCAACACTTGTTGTGGGGCACTGTGCCCCTGTCTGTCGGTACCGTGCCGTTTTTGATACCTGCTCCGCGTGCGGAGCATGTGTCAAAAAAACAGGGTTTTAGTATTTTAAAAGCAGCGATGAGTTCATGCACTCATCTATTCATATATTGATTCTATATGTTGAGAAATCCGATGTGTTTAAAATCAAATCTATATTTTAAAAAGATCCCATGTATGAAGAAACTGCCCTGTACCCCGTCCGGGCGTCCAAAAAGCGCCGCCCCGCCCGCGCTGCGCGCCCCGCCGCCCGCAGCCGCTCTCCGGTTCCCGAGCGCTTGCCCGCGCCCGGCCCGCGCCCGACCCGCCCCGCGGGGCTCCGCCTCCGTGCTGCGCCCCCCTCCCCAGGCGGCGCCCGCCGCCTCGCCGCGCGGCCTCGGCGTCCCGCCGTCGCCCTCCTCGCCCCTCCTCGCCCCCCTCCTCCTCCTCCTCCTCCTGCTCCCTCCTCCTCTTCCTCCTCCTCCTCCTCCGCCTCCTCCTCCTCCTCCTCCTCCTCCTCCTCCTCGACACGAGGCTCGAGGCGCCTCGTCGGGTATGGCCCTCCTGCAGAGAGCAAGGGGCGCCTCCGAGGGCGCGGAGTTCTTCGCGCTTCGCGCTTTTCGCGGTTCGGCTCCGATGCTTCCTCGTCGGGCGCGAAGTGATTCGCACGTCGCGCTTCGCGCAGCGCGAGGCGCGAAGTTGGGAGAGAGGGTATACCCAAACCCGCTGTCCCTCGTCCCGTTTTCCCCTTCCCGTGGCCTCCTGGGAGGCAGGCCCTCGTCGCCGCCGCTGGATTCGCCTCGAGATTCTGGTCGGAACGCACCCCGGGAGAGAGGTCCAGGGAGTGCCGGCATCGGTACCTCCTGGTTTCCCCACTCCTCCTGGCATCGCTCGGGCGTGTGCATTTTTCCCTCGGCGAGGACCATCGAGGAGCATCCTTGACCACTCGGCGAAAACAACCACGCACGAAACCGACAAAAAGCACAGGGAATGGACGTCCGAGCGGTGGCGAGTCCTCGCCCTCTGCGCCCGCCCCTCCCTCCTCTCCGCTGGAGAGGAGCAGCGTTGCAGATGCCCGCGAGGAGAGGCCAGGGAGGCCACTGCGCGGTGCGCAGTGGTTTGGATGAATTGCGTGGTCCACGCGTCGGCCCCCTCAGATGCGGAGCGACGTTCGCGCGGAGTGGTGTTCCGACGTACGGCCGACGCGTGCCTGGAGAGGACCAGTGCTACCGATGCCAACGAGGAAAGGCCAGGGAGGCCCCGCGCGGTGCGCAGTGGTTTGGATTAATGACGTGGTCCACACGTCGGCCCCCAACAGATGCGGAGCGACGTTGGCGCGGAGAGGTGTTCCGACGTGAGGCCGACGCGCACAGGCAAAGCCCGCACAGCAAGGAGGGGCAGCCTTCCCAAGGGTAACGGAGGATGACGATTCATCAATGGCCGGGGGTCGTGTTCACGCGGCGGCGCCCAAGGTGACGATTCGAAAACACCGGCCGCGGGCTGGAAAACTATGTATATATATATATATATAGAATCGTTCTCTTCCAGTCAGAAAATGATGCAGAAATAGCAGAAAAGTATGTGTTTTAATCGTTCTCTCCTATTTTTTATTAATCGTCAACCCGCGCAGTAAGGATGGGCAACCTTCCCAAGGGTAGCCTTGCATCCTTGCCTCCTCGGCTCATCCTTGGCCACCTTCGTTGGCCGCGCCCCGCCCGAAAAGCCTCGCAACGGCCTTCCAAGGCCCTTGCGTCCTCATCGCGCATCCTTGTGATACGGGCCAGCTGGCCAGCTATAAGTCCGACGCGTATCCGCTACGTGCATCCGACGTGAGCCCGACTTAGATCCGACGTTGATCCGACGCGAAGATGAGGTCTTAGGTTGCCGCGCGAGGCTTCCAGGGTGTTCCTCATTAACGCCGCTCGTCGTGAAGAGCCCTCGTCGCCGCGGCTGGATTCTCATCGGGATTCTGGTCATCGGGCACCCTGGCAGAGGTCCAGCGGGTAGCGGCAGCAGTGTCTTGATGCTCATCCCTCCTCCTCATGCTCCTCATCCTGCTGGCTCCGACCGTTGCACGGTGCCGCTCGCGAAGTGCCCGGGTCGTCGAGGCCCTGGGTCGGGACGGGCTTCCTCGGCAGGCGTTTTCCCCGCCAGGCGCTCGCGCGCGCGAAAAGCGCGGCGCAGAGGCAGCGCGCTGGCGGCGCCGCCCGGCTGCGCTCTCGTTGCGAGCCCTGGCATTGCTCGGACGTGTGCATTTGTTCTCGGCGAGAACCATCGAGGACGATCCTGGACCATCGGGCAAAAAAAACACGCACGAAACAGACAAGTGCACGGGAAATGGACGTCCGAGCGATGGCGAGGAGCGGACGCCGTGCCCAGGGCGCCGCGCAGAGCTTCCAGTGGGTTCCGCCCCGCGAGGGGGCCGGGCGGAAGGCGCAGGGCGCAGGGGCGCACGGCTGGGGGGGGGGAGGACGAGGAGACGGCAGGCGCGGCCCACGCCGGAGGAGGGGGAGGCGACGAGCGCTCGGCTCCGCCCCGCTGCTGCCGCTCCCCTTTTGCCCCCTCAGGTCGAGGAGGAGGAGGAGGAGGAGGAGGAGGAGGAGGAGAGGAGGAGGAGGGAGGAGGAGGAGGAGGAGGAGGAGGAGGGAGGGGGGAGGAGGAGGAGGAGGAGGAGGAGGAGGAGGAGGAGGAGGACGAGGACGGCAGGCGCGGCCCAGCCGGAGGAGAGGTAGGACGAGCGCTCGGCTCCGCCCCGCTGCTGCCGCTCCCCCTTTTCCCTCGGGGGCGGACAGCACCCCCAACAGTGACACGTCGATTCGTGGATTGTCCTTTTTCGGCTCTCGAGGGGGCGCCGTGGCCGTCATTTTCCAGGCTCGCGCCCGCCAGGTTTGGGGCCTCAGGTCGTTTCCATTGAACCACGTTTTGCTAAAGGGAGGTCTGTCCATCCCCGAGTTTCCCCCTCCAGAGGGGAGGAGGATGGTCGGTCACTCTGCAGCCTCGGGGGGCCTCTCCCGGTCTGTGAAAAAGGCCGTCTTTTCTTGTGCTCCGGCGTGGGGTCGACGCGCGGATCCGACACGGATTCGACGTGGATCGCGGCGCGATGGGACAGACAAGGCCCCCAGAGGTCGGCGGAGGGCGGGGCGAGGGAAGAGGAAGGAGGCGGACCTGTATGGCTGCTCGCCTCCTGTGAGAGGACGCAAGGGCGCGAAGTTGGCTCCCGATCCCGACCCGCCGCCGCGGACAGGCGCAGGGAGGGACGACGACGACGACGACGACGACGACGACGACGACGACGACGACGACGACGACGACGACGACTACGACGACGACGACGACGACGACGACGACGACGTCAATGACGAGGACGACGACGACGACGACGACGACGACGACGACGACGACGACGACGACGATAACGACGATAACGACGACGACGACGCCCCCCCTCAGCACGGGAAGCCGAAACAGGCGCGGCGATGACCGTGGCGGCGCAGGCCCCCTTTTTTGCTTCGCTTTTGCCGCGCCGCGGCCCTCTCGCTGCTCGAACTCTACCTGCGGCCACCGCGCTGGGACCGCAGCCCTCGTGATGGGCCTCGTTCCACCACCACTACCACAGGTAGGACGGAGGAGAAGGGAGGGTGGGAAGGTTCTCCTCGTCCTCCTCCTTTTCCTCCCCCTCTTCCTCCTCCTTCTCCTCCTCCCACTCCGTCTCCTCCTCCTTCTCCTTCTCCTCCTCCTCCTCCTCTTCCTCCTCCTCCTCCTCCTCCTCCTCCTTCTTCTATTCCTCCCTCTCCTACACATGTGGCAGTGGTGGTGGGAAATCGCCCCATCCTCCGGGGCCACCGTGCTGGGACCGCAGCCCTCGCCTAAAAAAATCGGGACACAGCCCACCCGCATAGCAAGGCTGGGCATCCTATGCCCCTTCGGCCCATCCTTGGTGTCTTTCGCTCCTCCTCCTCCTCCTCCTCCTCCTCCTCCTCCTCCTCCTCCTCCTCCCATCCTTGGTGTCCTTCTTCGGCAAGCGTCAGCACGGGCCTCCAAGGCCCTTGCATCCTTAGCGTGCATCCTTATGACACAGGTTGACTGTAAGCAGAAATTTTGGAGCTCCGTGCGGATCTTCTGGATCTGCGCCGGAGCCCCCTGGCTGCGCCTCCGGCGCCACCTCTGGCGCGCTCCGCGCGCAAGGGAGGGAACCCATCGCAGATCCAAGAGATCCGCGCGGACCGTCAAGATTGCATGTTTGTCTGGTTTTCTCATGCAGTCAACCCGCACAGTAAGGATGGGCAACCTTCCCAAGGGTACCCTTGCATCCTTGCCTCCTCGGTCCATCTTTGATCACTTTCGTTGGCCGCGCCCCGCTCGACAAGCTTCGAGGTGGGCGTCCAAGGCCCTGATGATACTCATCGCGCATCCTTATGATACGGTCCGAATGCAGCACCAGTACTTCTACGACCCCCAGATCCCCGATGTGGAATTCTGGGGGGGGGGATGTGTGTGTGTGTGTGTGTGTGTGTGTGTGTGTGTGTGTTCGTAGGCCGTTCGTGGGCCGCTCATGGGCCGACCATCTCGCCAGCCCCTCTCGGAGTAGTAGGAGGAGGAGGAGGAGGAGGAGGAGGAGGATGAAGGAGGAGGAGGGGGAGGAGGAGGAGGAGGCATCCTTGTGATACGGTCCGACCGCACATTAGAACCCGGCGGGCGTTTTGCTCGTGCCCGGTTCGCGAGTCCCCGCCCAGAGGATGGCGTTGTGCACGGCGGGTCGCGGCGCCGGGGCGAGCCTACGGCGCGGTGGGAGCCGGGGCGGGGCGCGGGGAGGCGATTTCGTTGGCACGCCGAGAAACAGGATGGGAAGAGCGCCCAGAGAACGGGCACTCCAGGGGAGAAAGAAGACTCGGGGATCCCCGCCCAGGGGCCACGCGGACGCACCCGTGTGGAGGGCGGAGGATGGGCGCCCCCCCCGTCGCACATCCCCGAGAATGGGCTCCGGCGCTTCCTGGCCAGCCGGGGCCCGCACGAAGCCTGGGGCGGCGGGGCCGCCACACGCTTCTCGGCAAATCCTCCGGCGGAGAAGGAGGAGGAGGAGGAGGACGAGGAGGAGGAGGACGAGGAGGAGGAGGACGAGGAAGAGGAGGACGAGAAGGAGGACGAGGAGGAGGAGGAGGACGAGGAGGAGGAGGAGGAGGAGGAGGAGGAGGAGGAGGAGGAGGAGGAGAGGAGGAGAGGAGGAGGAGGAGGAGGAGGAGGAGGAGGAGGAGGAGGAGAGGGAGGAGGAGGAGGAGGAGGAGGGAGGGGAGGAGGAGAGGAACCAGGAGGATGGGGCGGCAGCCCGGGATCTGTGCTTCCCCGCCCAGGAAGCCGCTCTCTCTGGACCTCGGGAGGCGCTGGGTAGACGGATGTCTTCTTAAGTCGGGCAAGACCCTTCCGAGGGCCACATTGCCACAGGAATGTAGGAAGCATGGGTCGCGAGACACAGGACACAACGGTACCCTTGACTTGGCAGGGTCGACCTACTAATCTGGGCCGACTAATCTGGGCCAGCTATTTGGACGGATGGCTTCTTAAGTCGGATGTCATCTTAAGGCTTCTTGAGTCGGGCATTCAATAATGGTAAAAGAACAGTCCGGGGGCGATGGTTTTGATTGTTCCCGGCCAGTTTTTTTCAATCTGTTTGACTGCTTGTTGTTTGTCTCCCAAAGTCCGCCTGGAGGCTGACGCGCCCGACCCCACTAGACTCGGGCCCCTGCAGGGGGCCACCCCGCCTGGCTCAAAGGGTGCCCTGGGCCGCCTGGGCCTCCATGGCTCTGCTGTGGAGAGCGCGGCGCGCCCACGCCGGAGAGCAGTGGACGCCCTGGGGCCTCGGGTGATGATGCTCCAGCCTACTGAAGCCTTGACCACCAGGAAGGAATCTCGAGCGCCCCAAACAGTTCCGAAACTCGAGGGCTTTCACGTGTCGGGCCCTGGGAGGCACTCGCCCGACACTGTTTCGACACTGTTTCGACACTCTTTTGACACTGTTCCGGGTGCTCGAAATTATTTCTGGGATGCGGTCCTTACGTAGGATGGGAACAACATAAGCCTCGGGGCTCAAGAGGCGGGGGTCACTGCAAGCGGGGGTCAGCCAGGGCACCGGATCCTGCAGGATCCTGCGAAGACCCCCTCTGGCTGACCCGGGTCAGCGAGCCGCTCGTGGCCGCGAGGCGGCCGCGCATATTGGCCGACCTGGGTTTGCGAAGGCCTGCGTTGCCGTGGTTCTTTCCTGCACTGCAGTTGTTTGGTTTCCTGCTGACCCGGGTCTGGATTGACCTGGGTCAGAAGATCCCCGATGGGGCCTCAGGGCTGGGCTTCCTGTGGGAGGTCTCCTGTGGACTGGCCTCCGCTGTATCGCGCCTCCTCGCTCGCATCACGTGCAGCGAGAGGGTCGGGTGCGCATCCCCAGGGTGCGCTCGCTCCGGTGTCGTCAGACCGTTGTTGTTGTTGTTGTTGTCGTCGTCGTCGTCGTCGTCGTCGTCGTCGTCGTCGTCGTCGTTGTTGTTGTTGTTGTTGAACATTATTTCTTCTTAAGAATAATTATTGTTGGGACCCCTGGTGCACGCCCCCCCCGCCGCGCCTAGGCCGCAGCTACATTTTCATCATTTTCGTGAGGAAGCCTCAGGTAAAACGATGTGATCCAGATCCGGTTGTTTTGTTGTAATCCGTTTTCCCTTGCAAAAAACACTATAAAATGACATTTCTTGTTCTAATATAATCAAATTTCAAGAATCCCTTGCAAAAAATAAGGTAAAGTGGACATTCGCGCGCGCAAGACGAAATCCTTCCAAAAGCTTAGTGTTCGGAGCGATTTTAACATAAAAACATCAAAAAACCAATGGTTTTTCAACAAAAAATGTCAAAATCTCATCCCGCGCGCTCTTGCGGATTCGTAGGAAACCCAACACTTTTTAAACATTTCTGTCAAACGGGCTTTTGCGAGCAACTTTTTCGAACTTCTGCGACAACGGTTGCGCACCTGCCAGGGCCATCATCCCTGTCAAATAATACCATGCGGGACACATTCGTTTTTTCTTCGCGCGCGCACGCCGTCGTCGTCGGCCGCGGGGCCCTGAATAGTAGCCACGGTCGTCCGCATGCCACGAAGTGAAGTGTCCGAACGTCATAGGGCGGGAAGCTGGGTGTGGGTGGTGGCGAAGAGTCGTTTGGAAATTTGGTAGAGCTTGAACCGGCCCCCCCACAAAGTGGGGGTATTGCCCGCCTCCTATGAAAACCCTGGCACTGGTGAGAACGGAGTGTCCCCAGTCTTAATGATTGTTGAACATTATTTACTTCTAAAGAATAATTATTGTTGGGCCCCCTGGTGCACGCCCCCCCTGCCGCGCCTAGGCCGCAGCTACATTTTCATCATTTTCGTGAGGAAGCCTCAGGTAAAACGATGTGATCCAGATCCGGTTGTTTTGTTGTAATCCGTTTTCCCTTGCAAAAAACACTATAAAATGACATTTCTTGTTCTAATATAATCAAATTTCAAGAATCCCTTGCAAAAAATAAGGTAAAGTGGACATTCGCGCGCGCAAGACGAAATCCTTCCAAAAGCTTAGTGTTCGAGCGATTTTAACATAAAAACATCAAAAAACCAATGGTTTTTCAACAAACAATGTCAAAATCTCATCCCGCGCGCTCTTGCGGATTCGTAGGAAACCCAACACTTTTTAAACATTTCTGTCAAACGGGCTTTTGCGAGCAACTTTTTCGAACTTCTGCGACAACGGTTGCGCACCTGCCAGGGCCATCATCCCTGTCAAATAATACCATGCGGGACACATTCGTTTTTTCTTCGCGCGCGCACGCCGTCGTCGTCGGCCGCGGGGCCCTGAATAGTAGCCACGGTCGTCCGCATGCCACGAAGTGAAGTGTCCGAACGTCATAGGGCGGGAAGCTGGGTGTGGGTGGTGGCGAAGAGTCGTTTGGAAATTTGGTAGAGCTTGAACCGGCCCCCCCACAAAGTGGGGGTATTGCCCGCCTCCTATGAAAACCCTGGCACTGGTGAGAACGGAGTGTCCCCAGTCTTAAATGATTGTTGTTGTTGTTGTTGTTGTTGTTGTTGTTGTTGGTGGTGTGTGTGTGTGTGCGTTTCTGCCGCCTGAGGCCCCGCCCGCCCGCGCCCTGTCTCCTCAAGTAGTGCTTTGCGCGGCCCGCCTAGCTCTTAACCGGAAGAGGCCCGCTCTCGACCCGCAGACCAAATGTGTGTCTGTGTGCGTGTGTGCGTTTCCCCCCTCAGCTGCTGCCCAGCGCCGCGGCTGGCCCCCTTCTTTCTTGGCGCTCCCTCCGCCGCGCTGCAGCCGGGACTTGCCTGGGCGGGCACGGCGTCCTCTCTTCCCGTCGCGCCGGGGCCTCCTCCTCGCCTCACGTGCACCGCGGCCTGAGTTTGCATCCAGTGCGCCCCACTGATGCCCGATCGCCGGAGCAGTCACCCTCTGCCCAGCCGCCGACGCAGACAAAAGTGCGTGTGAAAGAGAGAAGGTCCATTTCCCTCCAGGTGTCCTGCTGGATGTTCAACGGCGTATTCGACCCATTCCGTCTTGCCACTGCGCCCCAGAAACCGCTTCGGTGATGAGGGCATCCAGCGTTCAGCACATCGTCCTTGACTACTTTGTTTTGACGTGGCCGCCTAAGGCGTTGGATGAAGCATTGAACAGTCGTTGCAAGTCAGTCGGCGTCGTGCCACATAAAACTTGACCCTTCAGGAAGAGACGGTCATGGCTGGAGAGGCCGCGTGGGACCCGAATGAAGGCGAAGGTGGTGCTGACAATTTCGAGGACACTGAAGACTTCGCCCCATTATGTGCACCCCCCGCTGCTGCACACAGGGACCTGTTACATTCTTGTCTTCTCAGCGATCTCTCACGCCTAGCGGGGTTTCCGAATACTTGTGATACAGTTGCAGCAAGATCGCTACCTGTTGGCGCGGCGGTTGCCACCAGTGTCCGGGGATGGGCTGGGAGGACGGATTCTCACAATAGCACGGACACCCTTCAATCCTTGGCCATATATGATCCAGGGCCGAGCGTTCACAGGCCTCCCACCCCCCCGGATGGGATGGGTCCCAGGGTTCACTGGCCCCCGTTCCGATGGGACGGGAGGAGGAGGCCGAGGACGAACGACGACGACCACCACCGCGACCACCACCACGACCACCACCACCGCGACCACCACCACCACGACCACCACCACCACCACCACTACCACCACCACCACCACCACCACCACCACCACCACGCCACGACCACCCTCACCACCACGCCGCGACCACGGGGCCACGACCACAGGGGGGCTACCCATCCAGAGTGGGAGGGGGTGGGCCGATCCCATCAGCATTGGAGGGGGGGAGCGGCGTAGCCCTTTCTCATATACCAGCCAGGGCTCTAGCCGCCCCCTAATGCTAATCATGAGATCGGGCCCCCCCCCTCGCTGGATGAGTACGCCTGTGGGCCTCGCGAAGGCCTCGCGAATGGGATCGCCGATTCCCCCCCCCCGTCCCCTGTGGTCGTGGCCCTGTGGTCGTGGCCCTGTGGTCGTGGCCCTGTGGGCGTGGCGTGGTGGTGGGTGCTGGTGCCCCCCCCTCCCCATGTGGGTGTGGAGTTGATCGTCATCGTCGTCGTCGTCGTCGGCGACGTCGTCGTCTTCCGCCGTCGTCGTCGTCCTCGTCCTCCTCCTCGTCCTCCTCGTCGTCCTCCTCGTCGTTGTTGTTGTCGTCGTCGTTCGTCGTCGTCCACCCCAATCCCACCTGGGGGGAGGCTGTGGAACCCCGGGGCCCATCCCATCTGGGAGGGAGGGGCTGTGAAACCCCCGACTGGGATCATAGATGGGGATGGCTGCGCGGGGGCTGCCACGATGCCTGCCTGCTGCCCTGACCTCGATGGCGCCGCCCGCTTTCCTTTTGCCCTTTCCTGGCCCGGCCGAGCACGCTGCTTTCCGCCTCGTTGCCTCGTTGCCAGTTGGGTGCGCGTCCGCCGCAGGTGCTTCGGCCTCCAGCAGCCGACCTGCTGCCCCACTGATGGGCAGATTTTCCACCACCACTACCATATGTAGGAGAGGGAGGAGGATGAGGAGGAGGAGGTGGAGGAGGTGGAGGAGGAGGAGGAGGAGGAGGACCTCCCCATCCTCCCTTCTCCCCAGTCCTGCCTATGGCAGTGGTGGTGGAGAATTGGCCCCATCGCCCACCCACCGTTCGTTGATCTGGCCCCTTCGTGGCCTCGTCGCACCCAGGCCCCGTGGCTCTGGCGGCGCGGAGTGCAGTTGAAGCCAGTCCGGCCGGAGCCACGGGCCCCCATCATCCAGTGGGCCCCCAGCTGAGAAGGCGTAGGCAAGAGAAGGGGCAGGAGGAGGAGGGGGCTCGCTGCCGCGAGACCCTCTGCCTCGTCGCGTGATTGTGTGGACCGATCGTTGTTAGCCTGGATGCCCTGTGGCCCGTGTTGCCACGCTGATTCGCCCCCATTCGCCCTTTTCGTCAGTCGCCTCTCATACTTTTACAGCGAACTGCTCACAACAGGGATGAGATGCCTTTCCAGGAATACCCGTGCGTCCTTGCTCTCTTGCCTGTTCGGCCCACGGTTGCTAAGCTTTGGTGGGCAGCCGTTACAAGGTGTTGCAGTTTGGACATTCGTTGGTCTTGCATCCCTCACCTTACCCTTCTGATGCAAGGTCAGTGTGATCCTCCTTCTCTCCTCCTCCTCCTCCTCCTCCTCCTCCGCCTCCGCCTCCGCCTCCTCCTCCTCCTCCTCCGCCTCCTCCTCCTCCTCCTCCTCCTCCGCCTCCGCCTCCTCCTCCTCCTCCTCCTCCTCCTCCTCCTCCTCCTCCTCCTCCCTCCTCCTACGTCCTTTTCCTTGATTCCTCCTGCATCAGGAAGGATCGGGGGGCAGAGTTTTCCGTCTTCCCTCGTTCCTCCACTTCTCTTCTCCTCTTCATTTTCTCTTTTCACTCGTCATCCATCACCAGCCTGGTTTACGCGTTGCGGGATCTCTGTTTTCACTACGCTTTATGCAGCGTGGTGCTGCGGCAGTGCGCTGGCGCTGCTTCTTGCTCGCCATCCTCGGGCTGTTCAAAAGCCGCCCGGCAGGACGATGTAGACGAGGAGATCGACGACGGGCAAGGAGGCTCCCGCACTATTTCATCTCCCCCTCTCTCTATCTATAACATGTATGGCACGGAGGGGAGGCAGATGGGGGGGGGACGAGAACAGCCCAGAGAAGGCATCTACTGTTCAACAGATGCATCAACATACACGTTCGGAGGTTTTCGCCAGGGGGAGGTCCTGGCTCCAGTCCAAAGGCTCCGCGCGGCCCCCCCGAACCTTTCATGCTTGTGCCGTGTTTTTGTTTTGCCTGCCTCGAGGTGCACCACTACCGTGTCTGAACTGGTGCACGGTGCTCACATTTTTTCTGCAAAGTTTGGCGTTACAAGTATAGATAGGGGAACAATAAGCGACATAAACATAACAACTCGGAGGTCCGCGCGGATTTCTCGGATCGGCGCTGGGGCCCCCCAGCGGCGCCTCCGGCGCCGCCCCTGGCGTGCTCCGCGCGCCAGGGAGGGGGCCCCAGCGCCGATCCGAGAAATCCGCGCGGACCTCCGAGTTGTTATGTTTATGTCACTTATTCTTCCCCTAATAAAGGGGACCCGACTGGACGTTGAAAGTGCAGGCCCCGGAGGCGGTTGCGGGGCAGCGTCTGCCTGCCCAGGGGGCCTCGTGGACTCTACTCCAGACTTCGTAGTAAAAGGGAGGGGGTCTGGACCCTCCAAGACAAGCCATTTCAGACCTCCCCCGAGGGAGAACCCTCCAAAACATCGTCCCCAGACCCCCCAGGCCCTCCAAGATAGCCTGGAAGAGACCCCCCCCGAAATGAGACCCTTTCCCTTTATAGCGAAATCTGGAGTACCGTGTGTTGCCTCGGCGCACGCGCCCACGACGCGCACGCACGCACGGCGATGCCTCGTGTTCTCACGCTGCCGTGCGCGCTTGTTTGTTTGTTACAGTGGCCCGCGCGACTCCTGCGAGCGGTCGGCATCCCGCACCCCCCACGCCCCACTCCTTAGCCTGCTCGTGCGCTCCCTGTTCTCGCCTGTGGATGCTCATTTCCTCCGTCGCTTCTCTCTCCTCTCCTCTCTCTCTCTCTCTCTCTTTGTTCTCTCTCTCTCTCTCTCTTCCTCTTTTTATCCCTGTCTGTCCCTCTTTTTCTCTCTCTCTCTCTCTCTCTTCCTCTTTTTATCCCTGTCTGTCCCTCTTTCTCTCTCTCTCTCTCTCTTTTTCTCTCCCCCTTTTTTCCATCTGCGCTGTATACGGCTGCCTTCAGATTCCTTGCGCGCTGCATTGTCGAGTAGTTACTGTCTACTCTTTCTGCTCTACTCTGCCCAGCCTTCTCGGGTATGTAGACTTTCCTCTCCACTCTCTCCTCCTACTATCCACTCTCTCATTCTGACCGCGTTTGCGCAGATTCGGTACCCTTGCACCTAGTACGTATTCTCTACTACCTGCTCCCCACTCTCTCTCTCTCTCTGGTCGTCTCTGCTCGCATCTCTCTGGCCCCTTTACTGTTGCGTTCAAAGTCTTGAGGCACTGGGCGAAAACGAAGACCTCCCAAACCCTGGAACCTGACAGTGCCAGGATACCTGGAACAGGGACGCGGGGAACCGCCAGGAACCTGGCCGCCTACCGCAACCTGGCACTGCAAGGCACGCCGGAACCGAAAACCGGGAACCTCAACCATCCAGGACCCGACCGCCTACCAACATCGGCGCCGATGTTTCGTTTCCTCTTTGACATTCTGCTTGGACCCCCTCAATGCAAGCACCGATTGGGGAATCTCAGAGCGTGAATTACCTACCCCGCTTTCGCTTCCAGGCAAAACCAAGCCATACCACGCGCCTCCTCGTCAAGCGGCCTGACCAGTACAGGCTGCAATTTGGCATCGTTTGGTATCGCTTGGAAGCGAGGGTGGTCAAAAGCAAGGTAGGTTTATATTCCCCCTAGAATCATGCATTGTGGTCACGTTTTCCGATGTATGAGCGGTGTGGCGATGATATCGATGAGTGGGTCATGCACGGACCTGCAAGTCTAACCCCATGGCGATTGCGGCTCATTGGGCCACTGTCGTTAGCGATACGTTGCGCAGGACCCCGTTCGCCTGCCAGGGGCACGTGTACCTTACTGTATTTTGACAGGCTCATTCGCTGACGACACGTATGCACGGCGATCCCCTGTGTTCTCGGTTCTTTGCGCGTCTTCTTGTACGCGAAATTTCTGCAAACGGTCAGCATCGGCACCCCTCACGCCCCATTCATTAGCTTGATTATGTTTGTGCGTTCCCTGTTCTCATCTGTGGGTGCTCACTTCCTCCGTAGCTCTCTGTCTCTGTCTTTCTTCCTCTCTCCGTGTTTCCCTTTCCCTCCCTCTGTCCGTAGACGTTGTGTACTGTTGCCTCCAGATTTTTGCGCACTACATAGTCCTATACTCACTCTCTAATATCTGTGTCCCACTCTGCCCAGCACTCTCGGGTACGTACTCCTCTCGACTATCAAGTTTCTCATTCTGACCGCGTTTGCACATAATCGGGAATATTCTATTATCTTATATCTATATATAAACTTCCCACTCTCTCTGGTCATCTCTGCTGGCAACTTTCCAGCTTTGGTACTTTTTTTCGTTCGAGCTCCTGAAGCACTGGGCCACAAGCAAGACCTCCCAAACCCTGGACCTGAAACGGGGAACCAGGGAACCGCCAGGAATCTTGCCGCCTACCGGAGCCTGACACTGCAACGAACGCGGGGGTCGAGAAGTGGGAACCCAGGACCCCCTGGGAACCCGGTCGCCTTCCGAAATCGGCGCCGAACTGTCGCCTATTCTATCGGCATCCGCTAAGGCCTATTCAGTTTGAGCACTGATTGGGGAACACATGTGATCCAGGATCTGGGCATACTCCCCCCTGGCATGCGGATGCCTTCGGGTTCCCCCCCCCCGCGCGATTGGGGTCTTCCCCCCCCCCCCTCCCCTGTTGACCCGGCGTGCTGGGGCCGTCGGCCTCTGGGAGAGGTCCAGAGGTCGTCCCGTCTCGTCGTCGTCGTCGTCGTCGTCGTCGTCGTCGCCGTCGCCGCCGCCGCCGCCGCCGTCGTCGTCGTCGTCGTCGTCGTCGTCGTCGTCGTCGTCGTCGTCGTCGTCGTCGTCGTCTTCGTCGTCGTCGTTCACCCCCCGCTCCGTTCGGCGGGAAGGGGGAAGAAGGGACGAATGGGGCATTCGAGGGAGAGGAATTGAAACGAGGAGGAGGAGGAGGAGGAGGAGGAGGAGGAAAAGGAGGAGGAGGAGGAGGAGGAGGCGGCCTGCGTGCGCCCCGCGGATCGCCTCGTCGAGAGGGCGGGGAGACGCTGCGGCCGCCCCCGTCAGGGTAGTGCCAAGGCAAGGTGGTCGTCGTCGGCCGTAGCCACCGCCTCCTCCACGTCCTCGGGGGGGGCGGGGAGGGGGCGACGAGGGGGAGGGAGAGGGAGAGGGGAGGCAAGCTGGGTGCGCTCGCGCCACATCTGACGTCCTATCCCTCCCGCCCAGCCCTGCCGATCGCGCGGCTTCGTTCTGCATCCGCGGAGGCGCGTCGTAGCCGGCCTTTGAGCTCCAGACGACGACCACACTGTGTTAAGCGCAGTCGTAAAAGAAGGAGTTGCGTACATCGCAGGAGAAGGAGAAGGAGGAGAGGAGAAGAAGGAGGAGGAGGAGGAGGAGGAGGTGGCGGATGAGCAGGAGGATTGACAGGAGGAAGGGAGGATGTGGAAGGAAGAGGACGTTGACGCACAGCAGCAGCAGCAGCAGCAGCAGGAATTGGGGGGGGAAGGGGCGGGAGGAGCAGGAGTGCCAGGCAAGAGGCGGAGGAGGGGGAATGAGCGGGCCAACAACGATGAGAAAGGAATCGGATCCGGAAAAGTGGCCCGCACTGGGGCGAGAGCGTCATTCTGAACGACGGGAGCAAAGCGCCGATTCGAACGTGAGGCCCCAGCTGCAGCGGGATCAGCTTGAACCGCCGAGAAGAATCGGACTGCCCAAACCGCGGGGACGACCACCTTGTCCAAGTCTTCGCCCAAACCGTGCGGCACGCGGAGAGAAGCGGCCGTCTTGCGGACGGGGTCGGGGAAGCGAGGGGAGCAGCGACCCTCATGTGCAACTGTGGAGGCGGGCTGCGATCCCGCTCGGCCGTGCCAGCGGGGTGTGGCCCTCGGGCCGCGGCGGCAGCCCGCCGCGTGCGCGCACCGCCCACGGACCTCCGGGCCATCGCGCCAGGGATGCGGGCCCCCCCTCCTCCTCCTCCTCCTCCTCCTCCTCCTCCGCCTCCCCTCCTCCTCCTCCTCCTCCTCCTCCTCCTCCTCCTCCTCCTCCGCCTCGCCTCCTCCTCCTCCTCCTCCTCCTCCTCCTCCTCCTCCTCCGCCTCCTCCTCCGCCTCGGCCTCCGCCTCGGCCTCCGCCTCCCCGCCTCCGCCTCCGCCTCGCCTCCGCCTCCGCCTCCGCCCCCGCCTCCTCCTCCTCCGCCTCCGCCTCCGCCCCTCCTCCTCCTCCGCCTCCGCCTCCTCCTCCTCCTCCTCCTCCTCCTCCTCCGCCTCCGCCTCCCTCCGCCTCTGCCTCCTCCTCCGCCTCCGCCTCCTCCTCCCTCCCTCCCTCCCTCCCTTCCTCCCTCCCTCCCGGGCCCTGGTGCCTCTGTGGGGCGTGCTCCGCAGGGGCCTCGGCGCGCGCACGATGCCGCACCCACAGGCCCGCGCGGCCGGGCCCACCGAAAACGGCACTTGGCCGCTGGTTCCCCCACGTCCAGCGTGGCACTTCGCGCGGAAGGGCCGCGGAATGGCTACGGACCCTCCCCCTCCGCCTCCGCCTCCGCCTCCGCCTCCGCCTTCGCCTCCGCCTCCCCCGCCCCCGCCCCCTCCCCCTCCTCCTCTCCTCCTCTCTCCTCCTCCTCCTCCTCCCTCCTCCTCCTCCCTCCTCCTCCTCCTCCTCCTCCTCCTCCTCCTCCTCCTCCTCCTCCTCCTCCTCCTCCTCCTCCTCTTGCTTGCGCAGGCCTTTTGGGCGATCCGCACGCGGCGTCAGACTCCAGCGGGGAGCCGTGCGGGGGAGGTGTAGGGCCGCGAGGAGGGATGCGGGGCAGAGCATGGGGGAGGGATGTGGCCCGAGGAGCGCACGGGGGCCTCGGGTCCCACGCTGGCCCCGAGTGGGCCCCGGCCCGCGGGAGGGCCACCTGGAGGCCGGGGCGACCCGCGCGCAGGCCCCTGAAGGTCTCAGCGGCGCCGCGCCTCGCCGTCATGGCCGTGGTGGTCGCCGCCGCCGCCGCCGCCGTCGCGGCCGCCGTCGTGGTCGCTGCCGTCGTCGTCGTCGTCGCCAGTGGGCGCCGCCCTCGTCGCCGTCGTCGCCGCCGCGGCCGCCGTCGCGGTCGCCGCCGTCGCCGTGGGCGGCGCCGCCGTGGTTGCCCCCGGCCAGCGCCCGGCACGGGGCCCTACGAGACGCTGGCCGTGCAGGGGCCGCGCAGCTCGGAGGGCAGCACGGGGCACCCTGAAGAGCGCCGCCCTCGGCCGGCGCGGGAGGGCTCGCGCCATCCTTCAGTCGGGCCCCCCCCTCCTCCTCCTCCTCCTCCTCCTCCTCCTCCTCCTCCTCCTCCTCCTCCTCCTCCTCCTCCTCCTCCTCCTCCGGCGCACTGTAGCATACCTTCGCGCTTCGCTGGGGCAGAGAATTCCAGAGTACGCTTCCGAGGCACTGCAGGGGAGTGTCTGCACGAACCCCGTTCTAATGCACATGTGTTTCACGTAGCCAGTTTTCTTTGCGATGCGCCGTCCAGGCGCAGCTCTGCTGTTGTTGTTGTTGAACATTATTAATTCTCAAGAATAATTATTGTTGGGACCCCTGGTGCACGGCCCCCCTGCGCCGCCTAGGCCGCAGCTACATTTTCATCATTTTCGTGAGGAAGCCTCAGGTAATTCGATGTGATCAAGATCCGGTTGTTTTGTTCCCCCCCGCTTTCCCTTGCAAAAAACACTATAAAATGACATTTCTTGTTCTAATATAATCAAATTTCAAGAATCCTTTGCAAAAAATAAGGTAAAGTGGACATTCGCGCGCGCAAGACGAAATCCTTCCAAAAGCTTAGTGTTCGGAGCGATTTCAACATAAAAACATCAAAAAACCAATGGTTTTTCAACAAAAAAATGTCAAAATCTCATCCCGCGCGCTCTTGCGGATTCGTAGGAAACCCAACACTTTTTAAACATTTCTGTCAAACGGGCTTTTGCGAGCAACTTTTTCGAACTTCTGCGACAACGGTTGCGCACCTGCCAGGGCCATCATCCCTGTCAAATAATACCATGCGGGACACATTCGTTTTTTCTTCGCGCGCGCACGCCGAAATCTCCAAAAACCATTGGGCTTCTTAAGAATTTTAGCACCGCGCATCATAAAATCACACGAATCGCACCGTAGGTCCTCGAAAAACACCTGCACGACTTTTCAAAATTTCTACCCGCGCGCGCTGTCCGAATCCTAAAAAAACCAATGGTTTTCCAACATTTATGTTACATGAGCTTGCAACTTCTTTTGCTTGCAACCGGGGCTTAACAACTTCTGTGGGTGTGTACTCCACGCCAGTGTAGTAGCCACGGTCGTCCGCAGGCCACGAAGTGAAGTGTCCGAACGTCATAGGGCGGGAAGCTGGGTGTGGGTGGTGGCGAAGAGTCGTGTGGATATTTGGTAGAGCTTGCACTGCCCCCCCACAAAGTGGGGGTATTGGCTGGCGTCGCATGAAAACCCTGGCACTGGTGAGAACACTGAGCGTTCGGGTAAAGTGATTGTTGTTGTTGTTGTTGTTGTTGTTGTTGTTGATTTTGGACAAAAGTTCAAGATAGTCAAAAAATACCCCACAGGGTCAACATAATGCTATAAACATCATCCCCGTACTATTTCTTACTATTTCAGAATTCTGCTCCTGTAGAAGGGACAGGCCCGACTTAACGCCATCCACGCGCAGGCGGGACAGCTCTTCAGAAACGCCCCTGCTTCTTAGGGGGCGCGGGCCTCAGCTGTAGGTGGAAGGCCGGCGCTTTTTATCACCGAGCGCGTTCCAGTACTCGCACAGAGCCAATTTGCAAACGTCTGGAAAAAACAGGTGTTTGCTTCGACGTGATGTATCGTAGATTCCCCACGGCGGGTCCGGGCCACTTGTGAGCCGCTACTTCTCGCGAGTCGTGGAACGCGCTCGTACATTCTAAGAAGCAGCCTCCTCCGATGCTGAGCAGCCCCCCCCCGCACCCAGACATGATCGCGTCGTAAAAAAAGCAAGACGGCAAGTTGTCCACTATCTTCGGCCCTATGGGGGCCCTCGCCGGGCCTCCCGACCGTCAAGATTAACGATTCAGGACGCAAAGACGGTCCTGGGGAAAGGGTCGGGACTTCCAGGGGCGCCGCCCTGACAAAAATCAGGACGTCGCGCGTCTGGGCAGCCCCGCGGGCCCCGCCCGCTCCTGGCCGCCTGAGGCCCCGCATTCCTGTGCCCTGCCTCCCTAATTAAAGCTGTGCGTAGCCCGCCTAGCTTTTGGCGGAAGAGGTTCGCTCTCGCCCCGCACATCAAAAATGTCTGGGCAGCCCCCTGGTGCGCGCCGCCACCGGGGGGGCCCGCCGGCAGGGGGCCGAGGCTCAGGCGTCAGGGGCTGCGCCCGGGCGTCGGCCCCCCATAGGTGGCCCGCCTGGCCGGCCTCGGCGGGCCTCCCGAGCAGCCCGGGGTGGTCTCAGCAGCCCAGCAGGAAGTCGGGCGTGTCCCTCTACAAGTGGCATGTCCAAAACTAGTCCAAAAAGAGTCGGGGAGCTATGGTTGGAACATGTTTTGACCATCTTGGAGCATTTTTGGGGCAGTATATTATTCGTCGAACATCCCCCTGCATAGGGGGACGCGCCTGACTTCAGCCCAGCACCGCCTCCAGCGGCGCTCCTGGAGCGCCACCTGGAGGCCCGGGGCGGCCCGAGCGCATGGGCCCCCGGAGGTCTCCACGGGGCCGCGCCTCGCCGTGATCGGCGTGGTGGTCGTCGCCGCCGCCGTCGCTGCCGTCGCGGCCGCCGTCGTGGTCGCTGCCGTCGTCGTCGTCGTCGGGGCGGCCCCAATCGGGCCCCGGCCCGCGGGAGGGCCACCTGGAGGCCGGGGCGACCCGCGCGCAGCCCCTGGAGGTCTCAGCGGGGCCGCGCCTCGCCGTCATGGCCGTGGTGGTCGTCGCCGCCGCCGCCGCCGTCGCCGCCGTCGCCGCCGTCGTGGTCGCTGCCGTCGACGCCGTGGGCGCCGCCCTCGTCGCCGTGCCGTTGCCCCTGCGGCGCTCCGCGCCCTGGGGGCTGGGGCGCGGAGGCCGTCCCGGGCAGAGCGTGCTGGGACCAGCCGGGGCTCCTCGGATGGCTTTTGTTGGGGGGGGAGGGCGGCCTGGACAAGAGAGTTGCCTGGGGGGGCCTGTCCGAAGCCTCACCGAGCAGAGCGCCGAGGCTTCCAGACCCCCTCGCGTCGCCGGAGCAGTCGCCAGCCTCCTGGTGGCTCCTAATTAGCGTGTCTTCGATCACTTGGTCGCTCCGGGATGCCCTCCAACAGCAACGCCGAGCCGAGGTCGCTAGGGCCCGCGTGCCGTCAGAAGGCGGCTCGGGAGGGACGCGCAGCCCTTGCGTGAGGGGTCCAGGCCTCAGGGGGGCAGCCACGCTGTGAAACATGCGCACGACGCCAGGGGTCCTGGCACCGACATGTCCTCTTATCTTCAGGAGGGATCACACACACACACACACACACACACACACACACACACACACACACACACACACACACGCACACACACAGACCCAATGAATCGTCGATTCCCCAGAACATATGGGAACATATGGGAAGTGGGGGGGGAAGACAAAAATACCGGGAAAATGTAGGAACATGGGGGGAGTCCGGCTATTTGTGTGTATTTACTGGTGTGTCCCAGGGCCCCTTCATATCTCCCGGGGGAGGAGGCGGAACCGTCCAGGCGAAGCGCCTTGCACCCGTCTCCAGATCTCCCCTCTGGGAGTCCCGGGAGGGGGAGGGGCGATGAGGTCGAGTGAGACAAGAGGGGGAAGGGGGGAGAGGGGGGTTTCAAGCAGTGGCGGAGCGTCCCGGCTCGCTTCTAGGCCTACCAAAGAACGTTCTAAGAACCTGTTGTGGTTTGCGCGAAGTGTTCTTCGAACAGTTCTGGCTGGCTCTGTCTTGTTTTAACCCCTCGGGCTTGTCCTAAGAATATGGTTTTTGTTGTTCGAACTCTTCGGGGTTCTAAGAACATTGCGTGACAGGCTTCTAGGAATGCCGGGACGGTCGGTCCCTGCTCAAGAGTTGAGACGGTGGGGAGAGTGACGAGATGTGGCTAGGGGCCCACGGACATGCCTCATCCCCCGATGGCCCCATGGATCCACGATCCACGGAAGCTCTGAGGCTCCTTGGGACCCTCAGGGATCGACATATGACGGTATGCCTCAAGAGTTTTGAGAGCACGGCTTCTTGTTGCATGTGTCGGGTTTATGGGAATTCTGCGGTTGCTCAAGGTCGAACGGTCCACGCGTTGTCAGATCACAGCACGAGCTTGCCGTAGTTGGTTTTGCGTGCGAGGGCGATGTGCAGCCAAGACGAGCGCGCGCGGTCCACTGACGGGAGAGGCCTTCTTGACCATCTCAGGAATTGCCGGTCAAATGTCGTAGTAATGAAGCAGTGTTTTACCAGAGCTCCCCTTGCATGTTCGCCTCTTCGTGTCACCCTTTGACCATGCCCAGGGCGTTGGAGAAAGGGATTCGCCGTTGCTGCATTTCGCGCCTCGGCGAAAGCCAGCGGCACCCCTACCTTGTAATATCACACTGGATTTGGGTTGGAGGTGTATTTGCTTGTGTCATTCGTGGGCGAGCGACTCGGGAGTTTTGAGAGGGGATGCCGTGTGTGTCTGTGTGTGTGTGAGTGTGTGTGTGTGTGCCCCATCCGACCGAGGTGCCTGCCGTGCACGTTTTACTGCTTCACCCGGCGGGGCTGCAACCGCGGCACCGATTGCCGCTTCTGCCACCTGGTTCACCAGTCCAAGCTTCAGCTGGACACTTTTTTTTGCCGGCGGCCGCGAGAGAGAGCATCGCGGAGGCAGAACCAGGCGCATATTTGTCGTCTTCAGCTCAAACGAATTGTACCAGGTGCAATGAGAGCCCCTGGGGTGGACAGGAGGGCAGCGGCAGCTTGAGAAGAAAGAAGGGCTGCGCATCTAGTTTGACGGGTGCTTGTTCAAAACAGCCCTGCCGGAAACCAGCCTGTCAGACAACGGAAGTACAGTCAGACCGCATAGTGAGGATGGGCAGCCTTCCCAAGGGTACCCTTGCATCCCTGCCGCTTCGGCCCATCCATAGCGACTTTCGCTGGCCAACCTCGTTCGAAAAACGTTCACATGGGCCTCCAAGGCCCTTGTATCTAGGCCTCCTAGATGGAATCGGAGTAGATGGGGTCGGAGGATCGCGCCGCATGTCCGATGCATCGCCGATGCGGCTCGATGTGGAGCCCGATTTGCTTCACGTCAGCGTCGCCGATGCATCGCCGACATCGACGATGCGTCGCCGGTGCATCGCCAGTGCATCGCCGATGCATCGGCGATCCAGCGCAATCCTCCGACCCCATATACTCGGACCCCATCTAGGAGGCCTCTATTGCACCCTTATCGCGCATCCTTATGATACGGGCCGACTGTACTCAGGAGGGGAAAAACACACAGACAGTGAATCGTCAATCCCCAGGAAGGTATAGAAAAGTCTGGGAAGTGGGTGGGGGAAGACAACAACCCAGAAAATGTAGGAAAATATGAGAAATCCTGCCATTTGTGTGTATTTAGTTATTTGTGTGTGCCCCAGGGCCCCTTCATATCTCCCAGGGGAGGAGGCGGAACCGGCCAGGCTAAGCACCTTGCACCCGTCGCCAGAACTCCCCCTGGGAGTCCCAGGAGGGGGAGGGGCGATGAGGTCGAGTGAGGCAAGTGGCGGAAAAGGGGGAAGAGGGGGGGTTCGAGCAGTAGCGGAGCGTCTTGGCTCGCCTATAGGCCCACCAGAGACTGTTCTAAGAGCCTTTTGTGGTTTGCGCAGACATGTTCTTACAACCTTTCTGGCTGGGTCTGTCGTGTTTTAACCCCTCGGGCTTATGTTCTAAGAATATGGTATTTGCTGTTCGAACTCTTCGGGGTTTTAAGAACATTGCGTGACAGGCTTCTAGGAATGCCGGGCCGGTCGGTCCCTGCTCAAGAGTTGAGACGGTGAAGAGAGTGACGAGATGTGGCTAGGGGCCCACGGACATGCCTCATCCCCCGATGGCCCCATGGATCCACGCAAGCTCTGAGGCTCCTTGGGACCCTCAGGGATCGACACAAGAACATTGCGTGGCAGGCTTATTAGATGGCCCCCCGCCGGACCTTTGGGGGGGGGGCCTCGGAGGGCCTCCCGCCCGGCGCCGGCGCGGGCCGAGGTCGGAGAAGAGGCCCACCCGGGCCCTCCCGGGCGGCGCCTCGCCCCGGGCACGGCCGCCTGGAATGCAGTGGGGCTGGCCTCGGGCGGGACGAGAAGGGGGGGGAATTGGGAAAGGGGGGGGTACTCCAGATTTCGTAAGAAAGGGAGGGGGGTCTCATTTCGGGGGGGGGTCTCTTCCAGGCTATCTTGGGGGTCTCTTCCAGGCTATTTTGGGGGGGACTGTCAGCCACGCGCAGAGGGGGATAGGGGGAGGGGGGAGGACTTCTTAGAAGCACCCCTGCTTCTTAGAAGGCGCGGGCCTTCTCTGTAGAC